AAGTCAGGTTGTGGATTCAACTCCATTTCGGTCCAGACCAACACTTCAATACAGTGCTTAAAATTTATAAGTCTTGGTGATGTGATGGCAGGATTGGATTTCCCATTACAAAGACACACGACTAAGGCACAATTAAAGATGATATGGCCCCAGAAGGTCTGTAAATTTACCATCCTTCAGGGAAACTCCCCTTCGTGTGCCTAAGGGGTAAGAGTTCAAATGCAACGTAACCGGCAAAGCCAAAAAAAAGGAATGTTAAGTATTGGTTTATTTCACCCCCCAAATAAACAGTCAATTTACAGTATATTCTGTGAAGCGCATTGAGAGCTCTCAACGACATGACAAGGTGCTAAATCAAATGCAACGATTATTACTATTATTTATTTCAGAAAGTTTTGAATTTGCCTACTAGCACACAGTCACTACGCTTCACAGTAAAATCTTGTGAGCTGGTTTGTGATGTCTCGACGTAATAAGGTGCTAGAACAAATGGAAAGATTTTTCTTTATTATTACAACATTTGTGAGGTCTGTCACAGTGCAATTACTGAATCCGTTTTAAATGTCATTTTCTAACAGAAGCACTGGAAAACATAAACCTCCAGGAGTAAGCTCTGTGACCACTTATCAGAAGAGGACTTGAAATGAATTTATTGAAACTTTGAAGTGGAAGCAAGCTTGTGTTGCAAACCGCCGTGGCCAACATCTTCCTGTAGAGACCTTGGTGCCTTCAAGATAAACAGTGCTGTTAATCCTTTCAATCTTCTTATTGTTATTGTGATCTGAATGACTCTGTTACGCTTAGCTCTGTATTTTTACACTTTAATAATAATAATAATAATCCTTGCATTTGATATGGCGCTTTTCACGTCGGGAGGACGTCCCAAAGCGCTTCACAGAACACACTGTAAAGTGAATTGACTGTATATTTGTGGGTGAACGCGGCAGCCAATTGCGCACAGCAATGTCCACAAACAGTCGTAGATTGAAAATGACCAATTTTTATTATTGTTTTTGGTTTTGGAGGGATTATTATTAGGCGTGTGGAGTAAGGAAACTTGCCCAAGGTTTCGCCCTGACCTGCCTGGAATTGAACTCGGGTCTCTCACTTGCAAAGCGAGTGGTCTAACCACTGAGCTACAGGACATTTGGAGGTTTTTGAAGGCAGGGGGAAAGGAAGCAGGCTTTCTATTTCTGATCTGACTAAAATAGAAATGGAGTTAATCTATTCTCATGTCCTAGGACACAATGAGCATCTGAACTGACAATTAGCAGCCGGTTTGTGTTTAAGCTGAATAGGGACGTTAATTAATGTAGGCCCTTTGCTTTGTTGTCCACCTTCAAATTCAGCACCCGTTCTAATATTTATATGGTCTTAAACTGACAGTTTCCGTTTTACAAATTGCATTATCTATGGTGAAATTTACAGCTGATGAATCAATATTCCCAAATCACCAATGGCCACAAAGGGACCTGATAGCAAAATATTGGATGCTACATTCAGGAAGTTTTAAACTGACACTGCAATTTGCAGGTTTAAGTTTAAATTTAAGTTTATACCAGAGGAGCACAAGAAAACATTCCCAATTCTCGAATTTTTTTTTCAGGTCTTTTTTTTCCACCATTTAATCAAGCGCTCTAAGACACTGCCCTGTGTGAGAACGGTTATATAAGTGCAAGCTGCTGTTGCTGTTGTAATCTATTCCACACAGTTTTCAACCTAGAGGTTTGATATTCCAATCAGCGTGACTGCTGTCGAGGCAACTGCTTGGAGATGTATCCAGTCCCTTGGGTGACTCGAATCAGCACCTCCACAGATAATACAGCCAAGATGGGGAACTTCCTGTTTTGGGCAACTATAAGGAACCTTCTACTGGAGTCCTGTGGCTCAGTGGTTAGAGCACTCGCTTTGCAAATGAGAGACCTGAGTTCAATTCCAGGCAGGACGAAACTATGGGCAAGTTTCCTTACTCCACACGCCTAATAATAATCCCTCCAAAAAACAAAAAACAATAATAAATTGGTCATTTTCAATCTACGACTGTTTGTGGGACATTGCTGTGCGCAATTGGCTGCTGCGTTCGCCCACAAATATACAGTCAATTCACTTTACAGTGTGTTCTGTGAAGCGCTTTGGGACGTCCTCCCGACGTGAAAAGCGCTATGTCAAATGCAAGGATTATTATTATTATTATTACTGGTCTGTTAGTATATCCTCTGCTCTGCTGCCTTATACCTAATCCTTTGTTCACTCCAAATATTGAACATAAATCCTGTACAAAACTGTGTTGGTAATAGCCAGAATAAAACAATGGATTCCCCATCCAAGCTACTGACTCTTGCTATTCACACAATGTAATTGCGATTGTTTTGCCCTCATCAGTGTTTCTGAGCAAAACGTGAATGAAGTAAATGAAAATGTGAAGAATTACTCTGAGGTTTTATTGAGTTTGTCTAATATTTACTAAAATGGCTCCTGAAAAGCAGGCCAATCATAAAAAAAAGTGTTCTCAACAGAAAGCTTGTTTTGGTCAAAGAGTATTCACTTACATCTGTGCCCTTTACTTGATTCCAAAGCTGAATGACTGGAACTGGTTACCAGGAAAGCGTGATTGTGGCCAGGACGTCTGCGTATTTTAAAAAAAAGTTCATTGCTGCGGTGTGGGAGGATGGCAAGAGAGCAGATAAAATTGGTCATTCACTTTGTGGCTGTTTGTGGAAAATTGCTGTGCACAAATTAGTGTTTGCCTACACAACCACATGGTAACTGCAAGTTGCAGTAAAATCCTGGGAGGCACTTTGAATGTCTCAACAACGTGCTAAGGTACTATATCAAATGCAAATACAAGGATTATTATCAGGTGCTTAGGATGTGGAAAACATCAGAGTCAAGCCTGATTCTGTTTACAACATCCCAAGAGAGGTTTGGATGAAGAAGGCCAAAGCTTGGCTCATTTATTTTCATCCTTCCTTTAACCTCACCCCACCATTCCCCCATTTAAAAAAAAACAGCCTCAAGTTTTTTTTTAAGGAATCCAGTGTCCTAACCACAATCACCCTTCATGGTAACCAGTTGTTAATTATCTCTGGGTAATTAATGTCCCCCTGATGTGAAAGGAGCTAAATAAATATAAATTGTATTGTACAATAAAGAAGTTTGCAATCCTAAACTGGTGCTGCCTCATTAACAGGCTGCTGGCGCTCAATTAACAATTAGGGCTGGAACTTCGAACAACCCTGATTGGAGTCCAGCCCTTCTTAGCGACATTGGTTGAGCCTTTTGTTTTTTAAAACAAATTTTAAAAAAACACTCCTTTACACGTAAGTAGAGTGTCTGTAATAATAATAATACTTGTATTTGATATAGAGCCATATCACGTCTTTGAGATGTTTCAAAGCATCTATATCCATAAAAAGTCACAGGGTTTATCCCGGCCTGTCACAGGAAGACAATTGATGAAATCCTACCACTTAGCACTCAACAACAACAACAACAACAACAAGATTCCATATATAGAGCGCCTTTCATGTCGGGAGGACGTTCCAAGGCGCTGGACAGTTGGGTCAGGACCCGAGCAGGGGGGAAATGGTCAAGGTGAGGGGAGGGAAGGGAGGAGGGGGTAGAGAATTACTCGTGAAGCTGTGGTATGCCGGGCACTGTCGCCTGCATTGCCCTAACACAATGTGCCCTGGGCCAGTTTAACACAACGGAGTACATTCTGTGAATGATTCAGACCCAGTTGTAATCGTTAAGTTGGCAATGTCCACAATGCAAATGGCCATGCAAATAGCAAATAACCGGCATCTGCACCAAACGGTTGACTTTAAAGATACATTCAATGAAAATGTCCATTTTGACAACGTTCAGGTACATCAACAACAAAAGCTGTCTTTTACGGAGTAGCCTTCATGTAGATGGTTGGGTATATAGTGTACGTGTATCGGTTTGTGTTTGCGAGGTTTCCGGGCATGTGTTTGGGTAAAAATGTGCGCATACGGTGCACATCGGGGCGCCATCCGAAAGCGGCAAGTGGGCCTTATCAGGGTGTGTGTGGGCGCACACATGGATGTAGTGCACACAGGGGAGATTCCCAACTGCCTTAAAGGAGCGTCCCCCAAAAAATGTGTGCACAACCTGCGTGCTGTTAACCTGTCCACACTCCCCACTAAGAGGGCAGGGGTGGGGAGGGGTGTACAAGACCCCATTTGTAACTGTGCCCTGCAAAGGGTGGCAGAACCCCGAGGCAGGGAAGCCTTGATCCCTTCACCAACGTGGAGGAATAAACAGAGGCCACCCCACCACAAGGGGCCGGGTCTGTTGTGCTCTGTAACTGGATAATAACATGTTGTGTCTTCTTTTTCTGTAACGGGTTTGATACTGTTTGAGACAAGAGTAAATATACATCAACAAATAAATATATATTTTGTGAAAAAAAACTTAATGTAGATAATGTCTCAGAGCACCGGGTTACAAAAGGGTTATTTTCTCAAAATGAAGAGTCAAGAACATGATTTTGTTTCAAGATGCCATTAGTTCACAAACACAATTAGGATTTATCTTGGATTTCATTGAGAAGGGTTTTGGAAAACAGTTGTTTTTTTCTCTCTGTAGTACATTCATTTGAATGTACTACAGAGAGAAAAAAATAACTGTTTTGTGTTCCCAGTGTGTGTTCCCAGTGGTTTATAAAGAATATCGAATTTGATTCTGTAATCAAAGCTTGAGGTAAAGCTTTGTTTATCAGGAATAACCCAGTTGTCCAAACATAAGTTTGGAACGTATAAATCAGACACACAGCCATCAATACTAGCTCATTAACTACACCTAGCCATCAAAGTATAGAAGGCAGTTTATATTTTCTAGAAATTTGTTGAAAAACACATCTTGTTAAAGGTATATGACTTTAAAACAAGGACAGATAGCAATCAGATGTGGTTTTACATACGTAGGCGGAAACTGTGAAGCAATGTGACTTACTGCCTTATCAATACATTGTGTGCAGATACAGCAGACTCGCATACTGCCAACATGCAGTTGAATCCCTATTATTTAATGTTCATACTGATGCTCCATCACATACATCTTCTAATCCCAATTGCTGCAGGTAAAATACAAGCATTGTTTCTTCTGAAGTTATTTTGTCCAAAGTTGTACAGATGTTTATAGTGATAAGATATAATGAGGCTGTTAATTGAACCAAGGATATTGAAATGTAATCATTATTTCCCTTATGATCAAATTGAACTTTTTAAACATTGTTTGAGGTGAACCTTGAGTTTCTATTACATTAATAATTGTCATTCTTGTCTCTTCTTCCTGATATAGTTCAGTGTTTCTGTTTTTGTTTCTGAAGGGAAAGTGAGGCTGTATCTATTTACAATGATTGGGTTATTTCTTTTCCTTGACAGAGACCACATTTCGGAATAATATCTCTCAGTCGCCTGCAGAAATCGAGGCAGTTGAGGGTGATTCTGTGACCATGACATGCTCTTATAAGAGAGACCAGAAGTTTGAAAGCATCAGGGTGGAATGGACCAAAGAGTCACAACTAGTCCTGACGGGAACCAGTTCAAATCTGAGTTTGAAATCCACAGACAGATTCTCCCAAGTTATCCGGGAATCAGGAGCAATACTGACAATTAAAAACATAAATCTGAATGATACGGGACTTTATCTGTGTAATGTTATTGTTGAGATACCAATACTTCTTAAAGTCAATGGAAATGGAACAAAACTGACTGTGCAAGGTAAGCAGCCTCTTAAATTATAAAAGTGTACAATTTAGTATTTAAGATTGCTCTTAATAATTCTTGCATTTGATATAGAGTGCTGTAACTGTATTTTGTGGGTGAACCAATTTCAAAAACAGCCATGAAGTGAAAGATTAATTTTATTTTGGGGTTTGTTGGTCAGGACTTCGGTAGAAACTCTCTTCTCTTTTTAAATTACGCCATGGAATCCTTGATATCCGCCTCAAAAGACAGTTGGGACTTTGGTTTACTATCTCATCGGAAGGATAATAGCTGATTGTTTGCCGGTGGGATACTTGTTCAGCCAGGCATTATAAAAAGGATGGCCTTTTTGAATGGCACGGTTTGGGGGGAACGTGATAAAGGTTGAAATAGAAATCACTTTTAAACAAAATGTCTCTTTCTAAATAATGACAAACTATTTGGGAATTTACAGTATAGTAGAGAATTCCAGCAATTTGCAACAGTATGATTTTAAATTGTGATTTGTGCACAGTATCATGCAGTTTGAATTTACAGTATAATTCAATTTGTGGAATGAGTGATATGCTGGAAACCAAATGACTATTTCATGTGCATGAATTGAAGCAACAAACTAAATTTGGCATTTCTTTTGGAGAATAATAAAATTAATCCTTGCCTTTAATATAGCGCCTTTCATGTCAGGAGAATATCCCAAAGCAAAGTGTAAAGTGACCGTGTAATTTGGTGGCTAACTCAGCCGCCAATTTGCACACAGCATTGTCTCACAAAGAGCCGCAAAGTGAATGACCAATTTTATTTGGGGGATTGACACCAAGACACCAGTTGAAACACCCTTCATTTTTCATATAGTGCCAAGGGAATTTTAACACTCACCTGAGTAAGTAATTGGAACCTCTGTTCCAACATCTCATTCAAAAAGCAAGACTTCTAATAATGCTCCACCAGTGGATCGGAGTGTCAGCCAATAGCAGGATTTTAAAGTCCCGACATGGGCCTAAACCCAAACTTTCTGACTCAGAGACAAAAGTACTATCAACTGAACGAGGCCCTCTAATTTTTCCCTCATTTTCCAATTGTCCTCAACCTCTTTGAGGCTCTGGCCTTTTGTAAGCAGAAGACCAGTCATTCATCTTATTCTCAGTCCCCTGTTCCTAGTCCCCGTTGTTGTTGTTTTCAAGTCATATTAAATATGAGAACTGTGAAGAGACTTTCCTTCCAGTTTGCTCTCCTTACCTGTGGGAGTTTTGAGGCTTCTATTTGTTACCTACTCATACTGTTACGGCTACCATTAGTATTCCAGTGGTGTGGAGAAATCAAACATGTGGCCCATCACTCAGTGACATGACAGAGCTCTGAGGCAGGGTGCTCCTATCGTCTACATCTATTTTGTGTTATGGATAGATGTTCCCTGCTCCGTCTAAGGAACATCAAGCACATGTTTTTTTAATTGATGCAGAAAGACAGGAAATGAAGCTCTTTGAGTCATCCTCCTGACGTGAAAGATGCTATACTAAATGTTCCATTTTAGATAAATGTGACAAATGCCATCTTTTTTTGCTCGTGTTTTTTTCCCAAACTTTAAGATACATCTTAAAATGTATGCAATTGCACAGATACAATAGGCCAAGTACCCTCCTTCTGTGCTGAAATATAGTCAATCCACTTTACAATAGCGCTTTGAAATATCTCAACGACACGAAAAAGCTCTATATCAAATGCAAGGATTATCATTATTGTCTCCATGTGTGTGTCTGGGAGTACTTGAAGCCAATGAAGTCCTGTAGCTCAGTGGTTAGAGCACTCGGCTCGCAAGCGAGAGACCCGGGTTTGATTCCCGGCAGGGCAAAACCTTGGGCAAGTTTCCTTACTCGACACGCCTGACAATAATCCCTCAAGAAAAAAAACAATAATAAAATTGGTCACTTCAATCCATGACTGTTTGTGGAACACTCCTGTGTGCAATTGGCTGCTGTGTTTCGCCCACAAATTTACAGTTTATTCTGTGAAGTGCTTTGAGACATCTAGAAGACGTGAAAAGCACTATATCAAATGCAAGGATTATATTATTATATTATATTATATTATTATAATTACAATTCAGTTATATGTCTGCGTGAGAAATTTGATTCCGACTCCACAAAACTTCTCTGAGTGAGCGCTAGGGGTGCAATTTTTGGGGATCTGTCCTTCGGACAAGAAATTAAACTGAGGACCTCTATGCCTGTTCAGGTGGACGTTGAAGATTTCATGGCACTATTCAAAAAGATAAGAGTTTATACTGGTGTCCGGGCCAACAATCCTCCAAATAAATTTTGCAGCATTTCTCCCAGCGCTGCTTTGGATTTATCAACCCGAGCTCAAAATCCTGATCTACCCACAGCATCCCGACTCAGAGGCGAGAATTGTACAAACTGAGCTATAGTAATGGGAAGGTGCTGGTCTGTGTATTATAATAATAATAATAATCATAATAATAGAATCGTAAAATCGTAAAATCATAAAATCGTACAGCACAAAAAGAGGTCATTCTGCCCATCGAGTCTGTGCCGGCTCTTTGAATAGAGCAATGTAATGTCAATCCCACTCCCCTGCCCTTTCCCCATAGCCCTGCAAACCCGTCCTCCTCAAATACCCGTCCACTGCGTTTTTGAAAGTAGTTATCGAATCAGCCTCCACCACCCTTTCAGGCAATGCGTTCCAGATTCGAACAACTCACTGCGTGAAAACATTTCTTCTCACCTCCCCTCTGCTTCTTTTAGAAACTATTTTGAATCTGTGACCTCGAGTTACCGACACACCCACCAGTGGGAACAGGTTTTCCCTTTCTAACCTATCAAATCCCCTCATGATTTTGAAGACCTCTATTAGGTCTCCTCGTAACCTTCTCTGCTCCAATGAGAATAATCCCGGCCCCTCTAGCCTTTCCTCATAATCAAGGTCTCTAGCAAGTAGATAGCAAGCAGTGTAACCTGGTGTCAAGGAATATCTGAGAAGAGTGGACCACTTGCTAACCGCATTGCCAGACGCCATTACCCGCGATCCACCAATCGATTGACAAGTGCGTTTCCACTTACTGCTAAGCAAACAGAGCCATGTGGTTTACTTAGAAGGAAACGTGCCCCACTCAGGAATCGAACCCAGGTCCTCAAAGTTGCATTTGATATATTGCTTCATCCTGTCTGGTTAGTGCAGTTCATTGCAATTAACTGCAATTCAGAGCTTCTATTCTTGTGTATTTCCTGTCTCTGCCCTTTCCGCGTTACTTTATCAGAACTTAATAAAAGGGCATTCTTACATGCCAAGCAAGGCAATATAAACTTAAACAAAGTAGGTAAAACCTTTTCCTCCAGTTCTACGTAACCCGAGAGAAGCACAGAAATTGCATTCAAATAAACCGTTAACTGTTGATTACCTTTGCTTTCTCGGAAGTTAAACAGCGATTATATTACATTATTTTCACATATTTTTTAAATAATGTTTCTCATAGTCTGAAATAACATGGAATGATGGTGGCAATTTTAATTAATACTTGCATTTGATATAACGCTGTTCATGTCTGGAGGATATCTCAAAGCGCTTCACATCATTTACTGTAAAGTGTAGGTAAATGTGGCAGCCAATTTGAAGGTAAATGTGGCAGCCAATTTGCACACACCAATGCACCACAAACAGCCATGGAGTGAATGACCAATTTCTATCTGTAGGATTGTTGTCCGGGGCACTGGGAGAAACTTCCTTCCCTTTAAGAGAAGTGCCATGAGATCTTTAACATCCTCCTGAACAGGCAGACGGGATCTCAGTTTAATGTCTCATCCGAAGCACGGTATTTACAATAATTGCATTGGAGTGTCAGCATTTACGTTCAAAATCCCAATATGGGGCTTATTTAAATGCAATGTTTGTGCTTCTCTCGGGTTATGTAGAACTGGAGGAAAATGTTTTACCTACTTTGTTTAAATTTATGTGAGCCAGTCTTCTGGCTAAGAGGCGAGGGTGCTACAAACTGAGCCAGGCTGAAACCTAACTGCGTTGTAATTAGGAACAGTCTTGAATTGTAAATGTTACCTCTCTAGTGGAATGCCTGGTTCTGACCCATTTCATTTTCATAATTGGAAGTAACTCTTGTGAGATGTGTTTAGGATTTATGGTACATATTTTTTTGTCTATCTGCCTAAATTTTCAATTGTATCCTTTGCTGTTGTGAACTACTATTCAGTAAAGAAATTGGTCCATTTAATTCCTCACGCTTCTGAGTCAGAATGTTGTGGATTCAAGCAGCTTGTGAAGTGCTCCTTTGTCAGAGGTGTCATCCTTTGGATGAGATGTTGAACTGATGTCCCGCCTACCTGTTCAGGTGGACGTTAAAGCTCCCATGACACAATTCAAAAAGAGAAGGGGGTTTCTCCTAGTGTCCTGACCAACAATCCAACAGATAAAATTGATAATGTGGGATATTACTGTGCGCAAACAAGCTTCCGTGCTCACGTAAAAAACAAGTCACTATACCTTGCAAAAAATCCTGTGAAGAACTTGGAGGACTACAGTGACATGATAAGGCGCTATATCAAATGCAAGGGATATTATTAAACATTGTGTTTACTTTCCAGTAATGTCTAAGAATTTTCAACTTGCAATTTTTGTAAGAAAAATACAGTAGCACTAAAGCATATTTAATGAATCTTTGGCTGTTTATGTTCTCTTAATGAAATATTTTTTATTTCTTTTCAATTTTCCATAGAACGCAAAGAAAAAAACTGGTCTTTAGTGGGATGTGTGGTTTTGGTGGTGGTGATACCAATCATCGCAGTTTTATACTATAAGAGAAGATGGAAAAAACATCCAGAAACACAAGGTGTGTAACTGAACAATATTTTCAAACAAAAGATGTGTTCGATAGGACTTGGAGGGGCAGATCGGTCATTGGGGGCAGAGATTCTTTGCATTTCTTCATCTTAACTCTGGAAGCCCCAATGAGTAGGGTGATGCTAAATGGACAAGCAATCACTCTTGGGTGGCCAAATCTTGGCCAGCCTTCACCAGCCTGCACTTAGTACTCTTTGGAATTACGTTAGCAGGTTGTGTCCCTCCAGCAAGAGTGTGCAAGCACAGGGAAATATCCATACGTTAATGGAAAACATATGTGGAACTCTCAGTCTAATTTAGATACTCTTAAACGTGGTGACGGGTTCCACATGAATTTCAGACTGAATAACTACTGCAATTGCTGTACAAAGAGTTTCATTTACACACAGGTTTGTGTCACAGACATTTGCCCCAGCACAAATCTGAGCCTTTAAATTTCGCCTCTCCCCGTTTGCACAAAAACAGGGGGAGGGGGATTTGTGGTATCAAAACAACTATCAACTCTGTATCAATAGCACTTTAATGCTGTTCATTCCACAATCTTATGGCCCTTTGTGTAAAGATTTTTTTTTCTCTGGTCTTCCCTTTCACCAGCTTAGCTCTAGTTTTAATAAGTAGCAATTAACACACCATTTAATAGTATGAAGCACAGCTGCAGATGCTTGTTGAGTGCAAACTATGACCTCTGGAGAATTTGGGCCTGTCTACAAAACTGAGAGCCAGGAGCAGTCAGACTGATGATAATTCAGTGTGAAAATCTTGCATTTAAACCCATTGCTTTCTTTTCTTCTCTTTAAGTGGTGAGTGATGCTGTGAACAAAATAAACTGTGAAGAAAACCGTGCGGAAGAAAGAAATCCGGAGAGCTTGTCTTCAAGAGGCTCATCTCAGTGGGTAAGTAACAGTGTTGTCTATTAATAGCACAGTTCATCTCTGTGGAACCACTCTAAGTAGAGATGCAACACACCTACATCACATGACCATTAATAATAATAATAATCCTTGCATTTGATATAGCGCGTTTCACGTCGGGAGGACGTCCCAAAGCGCTTCACAGAATATACTGTAAAGTGAATTGACTGTATATTTGTGGGCGAACGCGGCAGCCAATTGCGCACAGCAATGTCCCACAAACAGTCGTAGATTGTAAATGACCAATTTATTATTGTTTTTGGTTTTTTGGAGGGATTATTATTAGGCGTGTGGAGTAAGGAAACTTGCCTAAGGTTTCGCCCTCTGCCTGGAATTGAACTCAGGTCTCTCGCTTGCAAAGCGAGTGCTCTAACCACTGAGCTACAGGACTCCATTGCACATTCAATACGCATTGTTGGAAAAATAGTGTTGAATATGTTTTATCTGATGAGAAAACTGAAGTATTATAAACATGAGAAAAGGTCTTTCAGTGAGTTTGAACCAGTAATTCAATCTCAGGGTTCTTGTGAACTACAGGGTTTGGGGAAAGGACAGGTAAATGGGACTGAAAAGGGATTGCTCTTAAAAGAGCTGGCACAGACACGATGGACCAAATGGCTCCTTCTTTGCTATAAAGGTCTTTGATTCTAAACATACATTCGGTGTTAGATCTTTGTTCTTGTGGTTTATAACCTCATAAGAATTACACCAACAAAATTATATTTGTATAGCGCCTTTCACATCGGGAGGAAGTCCCAAGGTGCTGGACAGACAGAGTTACAGACCTGAGCTTAGGGTCTGGGTGGGGGAGGGCAGTGGGGGGAAACAGGGAGATCAAAAGCATGGTCAAAGAGGAGGGTCTTGAGGTGGGTCTTGAAGGTGGCGAGGGAGGAGGCGAGATGGAGGGACGACAGGATGGAGTTCCAGAGGGTGGGTGCAGAGTGGGGGAACGCCCGCCGCCAATAGTGGGCCGAGTAAGACGGGTGATGTGAAGCAGGCTGGAGCCCGCTGAGCGGAAGGAGCAAACAGGGTAGTACGGGGTTAAGAAGTCGGAGAGGTAGTGGGGAACAAGACCATGGAGGGCTTTGAAGGTGAGGACCAGGATCTTGAACTGTATCCTCTGTGTGATGGGAAGCCAGTGGAGTTGGGCAAGGATGGGGATGATAGGATCGCGGAACCTAGTGCGGGAGAGGACACGGGGTGAAAAATTCTGGATGGTTTACAGCCTGTGGAGGAAGGAGTTAGGGAGGCCGACAAGCAGTGAGTTTGCAAAGTCGAGCCTCGATGTAAGGTGTATATGAGGGTTTCGGTGGCCTACGGTGTGAGACAGTGTCGGAGCCGGGCAACAGTAATTGCCGCTACCATAACTCATTTTTAACTAATTCTTATCAACGTGACATTTGACAACATTTTACTCTGATACGATTGTCCTGTGATATTACAATGGAGTGGGAACTTTTTTTTGCACTGAGTAAAGTTTCAATCATGTACCTTGTGGGAGGGTCTTGATCTATTGCAAGTGTAAAATGAGTCAGTCTGTTGGGACACGCACATCCGTGTTCTAATACGCCTCCGTGTTGTCTCGGCATTCTTACACCATTTTCTTTACTCTTTACACCATTTTCACCATAAGACTGACAAGATTTATATTAGGGAGAGGTTATGCTGCCAGACTATAAATTACAGAGATTTGGATGGAGTAATGGTCTTCTGCTGTCTGATATTGTTACTGTCTGTTTGTATTCTTGCCACTATATCAATTTATCACAGATATCCACCACCTTTGGGAGGTCAATATTTTAATATATATTTCTAAATTTTTCTCATTTTAACCTAACTAGGATCAATATTCCCTTGTGACGTTTACAACGTATTATTATTAGAGTTTTCTATTATCAGCACACAGTGGGGTCTAATTTGTGTGATTCGTGAAAGGATTTGAAAATATCTAATGCTGCTCGTTCCTGTCTGTGACTCGATGCTGATCCTCACCAGGAGTCCCGTTTGGCTACAGTCTGACTTTTGAGCAGAGTGGGTCAACATGAGACACATCTGGGTATCTACAGGATTCACTACTTACAAAGTATTGTACAATCCATTGGGCAAGACTACAAAGAGGAACTTTTTTTTATTGCAGTGACATGGATATAAAAATGTAATAACAGAATGTCTTTATCTGAGCCCTTTCTAAGCTTTAAACTTATTCTCACATTTTGTAGTGCTATTTATTATAAATGCACCCAGCTAATGCATTGAAAAGGCACCTCTCATGAGTAGCTGAGCTCTCTTCCTCAAAAGTGTGTAAAAAAACAGAATTGATTGGCCTGTTAGTGGACTCTAGGAGTCATGTTTGCAGCAAGCAGAATATCTTGTCCTGAGTGCCTTAGCTCCAATCTCAGAAGCTTACTCTTTTATGTTCCAGTGTGATTTTTCCATTTCTCAAACAAATTATTCTTGTGGCTTTTCTAAGTGTGAGTGATACCTTAGTACCAATTAGTATAATTTTATAATAATAATGATACTCATAATACTTGCATTTGATATGGGTCAGTTCATGCAAAAAGTTTGGTTGTTAGGATCTGGGATGATGTGGCCCAAACTAAGAGCCAAATTTAAGCTATGAGAGAGGAAAATTTCATCTCATCACTGTTCTATGATAATAATAATAATAATAATCCTTGCATTTGATATAGCGCTTTTCACGTCGGGAGGACGTCCCAAAGCGCCTCACAGAACACACTGTAAAGTGAATTGACTGTATATTTGTGGGCGAACGCAGCAGCCAATTGCGCACAGCAATGTCCCACAAACAGTCGTAGATTGAAAATGACCAATTTTTATTATTATTTTTGGAGGGATTATTATTAGGCGTGTGATGTGATTTTACAGAGTCATGTAAACATGCAAAAATTTACAGAATCTTTTTACATCAAGACTGTGTCCTAACACATTGCATCGTCCTGAGACCCTATGTTTAATGTACCTAAAACAATGAACAATGTAGAGTCCTGTAGCTCAGTGGTTAGAGCGCTCCCCTCACAAGCGAGCGATCTGGGTTTGATTCCCGGCAGGGCGAAACGTTGGGCAAGTTTCCTCAAACCACACACCTCTGTTTACCTAGCAGTAAGTAGGAATCCAATTGGTGGATTGCTTTTCTGGGGGTAATAATTCTTTCAAAAAAATAATAAATTGGTCACTCAATCCACGACTGTTTGTGGGACACCGCCAGGTGGAATTGGCTGCCAAGTTTTGCCCACAAAATATACAGTCGATTCACTTTACAGTATATTCTGTGAAGTGCTTTGAGATGTCTCAAAGACGTGATAAGGGGCTACATCAAATGCAAGGATCATTATTATAATGCAAGATTTTCTACGTGTTACAAAAAGCATCATTGTCGTTTGCACTGTGCAGGTCTCATGGAACATGATGCTAAACATATCAGCAGCATCAGTTTAGAAAAGACTCGATCTTCCAAAAGTTTGTAAACAACAAATCAATTTGGGTAAAATTCCCTTCCAGGGATGATGAGTGAAGCAAGTCCAGCCTAAGGTGCTTCATAATTGTAACCTAACTATTAAATTGGGAAAAGAATATTGTGCTTCTAACTTCATTATTATCACACTGAAGTCTATACAACTAACACGTAACATCCTGGATTTTTCAGATGGCCTCAACACTGTATGAATCCATTGATTATTTTGCTGTCAAGGAAGATGAAAACAAGGAATCTAATTGAAGAGCCTGGAACAGCTGGTTTTCTTCACCTGGGGCTTTGTGTAAGAAGAAAAGGACTTTTCAAAAAAAAAAACAGCAGAAACAATTTGTGTTTTCATGTTTTTCATACAATTTCAGAAAGACTTATCTGTTGGCATTAAGTGATAATAAAGTGTATTGTTTCTGGAAGCGTGGTCAAGGCCATGTGATGGAGTTGTGCACTAAAGAGGGAAATTTTGCCTTTTATATTATTAAAAGTGATTGGTTGGTGGTGCTGTGTGCTGCAGCTTCAGAGTTCAATGTCAAAGTGCCAACAGGTAGGACGATCTTAGTCAGACAAACAGCAGGAAGTTTACCAGTACTCTCCAGCTGCATGTTATCAGTTGGTTAAACTCCCCGCAGTAACAAAACGCAATGTGGAGTTCCCAAGTCTTCACTCTTGCCGACCTGTGCCTAAACCCTCTGGGATTAGATAAACAGTGCACCCCACTGAGGGGGGGAGAATGTGCACTACATATTGCACCAATAAAAACGTACATAAGTGGAACTCTCCGTGTTTGGTTTACAGGCTTTGAAGCATCGTGATGGTTTTCCTCTTGTGTCAGACACTCACAAAACAATATGTGCTCCACTGTGAGTTCCCCGTGTCAGCATTGTCATGCAGGGAAGCAGCGAGTGAATGCTGACTGGCAATCTCCCCACAAGGGAGATCACTAAGAATAGTGTAGTGGAGTAACATCTTGCATCCTGCAGGTTTTTTTTGTTCAATACATTTGCTTCATCCCCAGATTAAAAACTTCATATAGAATTGTCCATTTTTACAGCACAGGCAACAGGTTATATCAACCTGCATGAGGTATATCCATGCATGAGCCATCTAGTCTAACCCCAGTCTCCTGCTTGCTTCCAATAATCTTTAATATTCCCTTTTCAAAAGTTTTGAGCTTGGCTTTTTTTTTAATGTTCTTTTGATGTATTTTAATGTATAGTTGATATGGGAGGCACATTGACATGGTGTGTTGGAGCACCAGTTGATCAGCAAAGTTACATCCCTGCCTGTGGAGTGCCTGTTCTCAGCTGCTCTGCTTTGGGGGGAGCTCTCAGCAGAGACAAGAACCTGTTGCAGAGGAGGAAAAATCATTGAGAAACCATCCACTGGAAACACTGAGGTGTTTCCCTCAGGAAGCGACAGACAGAGAAACCCATTATTCTGGATTATGCTGAAAAACCTCTACAGGACTCCAGTTGCAGGGCTTTAGTTTGCTGCTCTCCCATCCAGAAAATCCATGGGGCAGGAAAATACAATTTTTTTTAGCAAAAATAGTGGCATGGATACAAAAATGTAATAAAACTACTTCTTGATCTGAGCTCTTTCTAAGCCTTGAACTTATTTTCAAGTTTAGTGGTGCTATTTAGTATAAATCTAATGTATTAAAAAAGGCACATCTTATGACTAGTTTTCTGTTTGGTAGAAACATACCAAGCTAATGCGTTAAAAATGCAATCACACTTATACCATGAGTAGCCGAGCTCTCTTGCTGAAAATTATTGAACATTGTTTTTAGTTTTAAATATAGTGGAAGCTGCTATGGCTGGATGCCAGTTAACTCCAGACGTTGGCGAAATTGGATAAAATGCCCCACTTTAAGCAGTTTCCAATGTATCAGAATTTTATCAGACTGTTAGTGACCTCTGCGACCATGTTTGCAGCAAGCAGAATATCTTGCTTGAAGTGCCTTAGCTCCAATCTCAGAAGCTCACTCTTTTATATTCCATTGTGATATTTCCATTTCTCAAACAAACCATTCTCAAGCTTCGACCACAAAATATACAGTTAGAATAATAATAATAATAATCCTTGCATTTGATATAGCGCTTTTCACGTCGGGAGGACGTCCCAAAGCGCTTCACAGAACACACTGTAAAGTGAATTGACTGTATATTTGTGGGCAAACGCGGCAGCCAATTGCGCACAGCAATGTCCCACAAACAGTCATAGATTGAAAATGACCAATTTTTATTATTGTTTTGGTTTTGGAGGGATTATTATTAGGCTCTGTGTGGAGTAAGGAAACTTGCCCAAGGTTTCGCCCTGCCTGGAATTGAACTCGGGTCTCTCACTTGCAAAGCGAGTTAATTCACTTTACAGTATATTCTATGAAGTGCTTTATGATGTCTCAATGACATGACAAAGCACTACATCAAATGTAAGGATTATTATTATAAGATATCAATCCTGTACTAGGGGTGTGAAATATGCAATATTGAATTATTACTGCTGATTTCACTCGTGGTAATGTTCTAGTCATCTTATTTCAGATGGTCTCAGTTGCTGACTCTGCTCCAAACACTGCTACAAAATTGCCTGGGAATGTTTACACCATAGCTCCTGACCCGTTTGGCAATTTTTTTTAATATATGCAAGAATTATTTTGATTTCCATCAGGATCAATTACGCATTGATTGGCATCATGTTAGTATGAATGAATGGCTGAGTGAATAACATTACACTGGAATAACAATAAGATGGAATGTCTTTGTGAAGTACCATAGGTTAATGATTTATTTGTATTCAATCAGCCAACAGACTAGTTCGGTAATTCCTCGCAGGCAGCAGTGTCGGTTATAAGTGTCATTACTTGACATTTAAAACAAAGATATGCTCAAGAAAAAACTCAACTGAAAGATAGAAAAGGGATGTTAAGCTCCATTGTGATTGTAACATTTGTAACTGTTAACTTGACAGAGATGGATTTGCTTGTTAAATATTTTAAATAAAATAATAACATTTAATTGTTACATTTGATATTGTGCTGAGTGTGTGTATGTGTGTATATATATATACACAGATATAGGGAGGACATCTGGAAGTGTTTATAATAATAATCCTTGCATTTGGTATAGCGCCTTATTACGCCATTGAGAATATATTGTAAAGTGGATTGACCATGTATTTTGTGGGCGAAAAGCGGGAGCCAATTGGACACAGCAATGTCCAACAAACAGTCGTGGATTGAGTGACCAAATAATATTTTTTTGGAGGGATTATTACCCCCGGAAAGCGATCTGCCAATCGACCAACAACCAGGTTCCTACTTAATGGTAGGTAAACAGGTGTGTGGAATAAGGAAACTTGGCTAACGTTTCTCCCTGCCCGGGAATCAAATATGGGTCCTCTTGCTGGCGAGGTGAGTGCACTAACCATTGTGCTACGGGACACCACAGAGCAGTAATATCACAACACAAACCATTAACGTTGCATTCCTCTGTTTTTAAAAACACAGGTTGGTGCCCACTTCCAATGATTTTGTTTCACAGGATATACTGTAAAGTGATTGCGTTTTGTGGGCAAATGTTTCCTTCAAACATGGTTAGTTCGCTTAAGATGACATTCAAAGATAAAGAGATATGGGTTGTAAAATGTCACACTGAAATGGGTTATTCTTTTGAGGATGAGGTATATTTCTGCGAAAATACATGATGGGAATCATCATCACTTCCAAAAAAACGATGGAGAACCATAAAAGGAACAATCTGTTTCCTGAACTAAAGGTTATTGGTGAAAAAGTGATCAGGAGTGAAGATCACATGTTTAATCTCGGTTTCAATCCAGAACCACCTCACAGCTCTCATTTGTAACTTGTCATACCAAGAGGAAGATATAATGCTTTTTGAACACGTACTAGACCAAACCATTAGCTATGCAGTGCAAATAAAACACCCTGATATCTTCAGACTGTGAGAATCCTAAAGGAACGGAAACAGAGCAGTAATGTCACAGTACTATTAAGATTGCATCTTCTTTTTAAAAAAAGCAGGTTTGTGCATCATGTATCACATTGGAAGGTAAAGCCCACTTCTAAGCTAATTACTTTGTGAATTGGTTGGTTGGTTCCAATCTTGCAATGAAATATGTGCACGTTTCCAAATGTTGGCATTGATTTTTATGCATTCTTCATATAACATTTCAATGAAAACAATTAAGTGCAATGTTCTTGTTAAAGAGCTGCTACAACAACAACAAGATTCCATTTATAGAGCGCCTTTCACGTCGGGAGGACGTCCCAAGCCGCTGGACAGTTGGGTCAGGACCCGAGCAGGGGGGAAATGGTCAGGGTGAGGGGAGGGAAGGGAGGGAGCGAGGAGGGGGTAGAGAGTCGAGAGGGGAGCTGAAGGCAAGGTCAAAGAGAAAGGTCTTGAGACCAGCCTTGAAGGAGGAAAGGGAGGAGGCGGCGAAGGCACTGGGGGATGGAGTTCCAGAGCCTAGGGGCTGAGAGGCTGAAGGCCCGGCCACCGATGGTAGGGCGGTTGGGGCGGGGGATGTGGAGCAGACCGGAGCCAGAGGAACGGAGGGTACAGGCAGGAAGGTAGGGGGATAGTAGCACGTTGAGCTGAAGAAAGTTGTCTCTCGTCCAGGATTCGATGTCGGACAGGCAGCTGTCAGGACATCGGTGGTCATGGAGTTGAGGGTAGAGGAGGAAAGGTAGAGTTGGGTGTCATCCGCATACATGTGGAAGTTAACCCCATGTCTGCGGATGATGTCACCAAGGGGGAGCATGTAGAGGATGAAGAGGAGGGGACCGAGGACAGAGCCTTGAGGGACACCGCACGAGACAGTGCGGGGGGTGGAGGAAAAACCATTCGTGGAAACAAAGTGAAGACGGTGGAAGAGGTACGACCTAAACCACTCAAGGACAGGGCCTTGAAGGTTGAGGTGGGAGGACAAGCGGTGGAGGAGGATAGCATGGTCGACCGTATCGAATGCTGCTGATAGGACGAGGAGGCAGAGGGAGCCCTGGTCACAGATGGTTAGGATGTCATTGGTGACCTTGACCAGGGCAGTTTCTGTGCTATGGGCAGCACGGAAACCCGACTGAAGGGGTTCGAATAATGAATGGGTGGAGAGGAAAGAGCGCAGCTGGGAGGCGACAACTCGTTCCAGGACCTTGGACAGGAAGGGGAGGTTGGAGATGGGCCGGTAGCTTGATAGCTGCGACGCATCAAGGGAGGGTTTTTTCAAGGTGGGAGTGATGGTGGCAGTTTTTAGGGGAATGGGAACAGAGCCAGAGGAGAGGGACAGGTTGATGATGTCTGTGAGAAGTGGGGCAAGGAGGTGGAGCTGGGAGATAAGGAGTGGAGTGGGGATGGGGTCAAGGGAGCAGGTGGTGGGTTTCAGGGATAGGATGAGTTTGGTGACAGAGGGTGGGGAAACGGGTACGAAAGTGTGTAGGGGAGGATGGGTAGGAGTCAGAGTGTGGGAGGGAGGGGGTGGGTGGATGTTGGAGGGGAAGTGACCGCGGAGCGAATTCCCTTGATTTTGGATTCAAGGAAATCCAGCATCTCCTCGCAGTGAAGGTTGGAGGAGATGACCTTTGCGGGGTGGCGGGGAGGACGGAGGAGTTGGGATGTGGTAGAAAACAATAGCCTGGGGTTGTTCTTCGCCTACAGGATTATCCTGAAGTAGAAGGACGATTTGGCCGAGGCTAGAGTGGAGCGGTAGATTTTGAGGAGGTCCAGCCAGATTCGTCGGTGGACCGTTAGGCCAGATTTGA